GAGACTTAGAAGATTAACTTTACCCGGAGCTTCGACCTCGCACCTGGAGCTGTCAGCGGTGGAGGGCGTCGGCTGTGAGTTGTTGTCGAGTAGGCGCCACTGGCCGGTCTCCTGTGAAGTAAGGTCCTCTTTTCTTCGTTATATCATACCGGATTATTCGGAGACAATGCTTCATTCTAGAACTGTGCCCTTGAAATTTCGGAACGGTGGAATAAATGCCCTTAATCTTAAAGCACTGGAGTACGTTCCCAATCCGACACACTCTTCTGACACTCTCTCAAACCCTTTAAATGTTGAAAGTTTGAGGATGGCGCTAATAAACGCCAGATCTATTTCAAACAAGACATTTTTATTAAATGATTTTATTTCCACACGAGATCTGGACATTTTGTGCATAACTGAAACTTGGCTTAGTGCTGGTGACTCTGACTGCCTATTGGAAGTTTCTCCAACAGACTTTAACTTTTTAAGCACTCCCCGTCTCTCTGGCAGGGGTGGGGGAGTCGCTACTATATTCAAAAATATCATGAAATGTCGCTCGCTGGCCGTTCAGGACTACTCCAGTTTTGAGCTGCAGCTCGTTAAAATAGATGGCTGTGTTCCGATTGTTTGTGCTCTCATATACAGACCTCCAAAATACAACAAAATGTTTATTCAGGAGTTTTCAGAGTTTTTAACTACCATTGTACCAAGGTTTGAGAAAATCTTAATACTTGGTGATTTTAATTTGCATATTTGCTGTCCCAAAGAGCCTATGGTGAAGGAATTTTTACATATTATTGATTCTTTTAATCTGTCTCAATCTGTCTCAAAGCCTACGCATAAATTTGGACATACTCTAGATTTGGTACTATCTTTAGGGATATCTATCACAAATATCGACATTGAAGAGGGTTATTTGTCTGATCACAATCCAGTTGTTTTTAATATTCAAATTCCCAGCCCCTTTTTAAATAGCAAACCACCTGACCGTCGTGCTCGTTGCTTGAATCCTTCAACGGCCAGTGATTTTACGAAGGCTTATTCACTACTTCCATCTCTGCCTTTTGGGTTGGAAATAAATAAGTCAATGTCACTATTTAATTCCACTTGTAATGAAATCATGGAGCTGTGTGCTCCTTTGAAAATTTTAAAACCTAAAGCCAAACAACAACCGTGGCTAAATAGTGATACCCGTAGCATTCGTCAGCTATGGAGAAAAGCGGAGAGAATATGGAAGAAAACTAAACTGCAGGTGCATTATGAAATTTTAAAAGACTCTATGATTAAATATCAGAAGGCAGTTAAAGCCGCAAAAGCAGAATACTTTGCTAATCTCATAAAAAAGGCTCCTAATAACCCTAGAGTTCTTTTTAAAACAATTAACTTAGCCTTAAACACTGAGACTATGTCTGGTCTTGCTATTTGCCAGACAACATGCGAAAAGTTTTTACAGTTTTTTATTAGTAAAATTGAAGCCCTTAGAGCTGGGATTCTGCGTCAAGACTCTTTCCTTGACAGTACCATCCCACCTTCACTAGCACACTTTTTGGATGAATTTAAACCAATCACGTTACATGATTTGGTGGACTTGGTCCTCCATATGAAGCCCTCCCATTGTTCACTGGATATTATCCCTCCACATCTTTTCATTCAGGTATTGGAGGTGGTTGGATTAGACCTTCTATCAATAGTGAATTCTAGTTTGCTGAGTGGAGTCGTACCTTCTTGTTTTAAGCATGCTGTAGTACAACCCCTTTTAAAAAAACCCAATCTGGATTCATCAGATTTAAAAAACTATCGACCAATTTCAAAATTGTCTTTTCAGTCTAAAATCTTGGAGAGAGTTGTCTTTCAACAGCTTTCTAGTCACTTAATTGGAAATGACATTCTTGACAAATTTCAATCTGGTTTTAGGACACGGCATAGCACTGAGACAGCTCTCCTAAAAGTGTCTAATGATATTTTTCTGACAGTTGATTCTGGAAAATGCGCACTTCTAATTTTACTAGACCTGACTGCGGCATTTGACACAATACATCACAATATCTTGATTGAGCGTTTAAGATTGTGGGCTGGGATTCAAGGAAATGTTTTAAATTGGTTTAGTTCTTATCTTTCAGGGAGGACCTTTTCTATTGAACTGGGTAACTTTTCTTCCTCATCTGCACGTTTGGAGTGTGGTGTCCCCCAAGGTTCAATTTTGGGCCCAGCTCTTTTCTCTATCTACATGCTTCCCTTGGCAGCAATTTGTAAGAAGCATAATGTAAGCTACCACCTCTATGCTGATGATACTCAGCTTTACTTGCCTATAAAAATGGGAGAAAATTCTGTTTTACAGTCCTTTTTCACCTGTTTTAACGAGATTAAGGAATGGCTGGCTGGTAATTTCTTACACTTGAATGAATCAAAAACTGAAGTAGTAGTGTTTGGTCCTCCGAGTGTCTGTGAATCTACAATTAATAAATTAGGTTCGATCAAGCCTAAGGTCCACAGTCACGTAAAAAATCTTGGAGTTACTTTTGACACTGAGTTAAAGTTTGACAAGCAAATAAACTCAGTCGTCAAAAGTGGTTTCTATCAATTAAGGAACATTGCCAAATTGAAGCCTTTTCTTTCTTTTAATGAGCTGGAATCTGTCATTAATGTTTTTATTATGTCAAGACTGGACTACTGTAACTCTTTGTATTCTGGAGTTTCACAGGCATCAATAGCACGCCTGCAGCTGGTTCAAAATGCAGCTGCTAGGCTTTTAACTGGGACAAAAAAATTCTCTAGTATCTCACCGGTTTTATTGTCTCTTCACTGGCTCCCAGTCCAATTTAGAATTCAATATAAATTATTGCTTCTAGTTTTTAAAAGTTTGAATGGTCTGGCACCGACTTACATTTCTGAGCTTCTTCACTGGCACACTTCATTGAGGCCAATCAGGTCTGAAAACACATTTCAGCTAGTTGTCCCCAAAACGCGGTTGAAATCAAGAGGTGACAGGGCTTTTTCTGCTGCAGCCCCCCGACTGTGGAATGGTCTGCCTTTACAGATCCGGTCATGTTCTTCACTTGGTGCTTTTAAGTCTCATCTAAAAAATCACCTTCTGTCTCTTGCCTTTGATTGTAATTAATTTTAATCTGTTTTATATATTTTGCAATTTTTTTATATATAGGTATAGATTTTGTATGCTGGTCGTTTTGTAAAGCACTTTGGTCAACATCTGTTGTTTTTAAATGTGCTCTATAAATAAAGCAAACAAACAAACAAACAAACAAACAGGCATTTCAAAACAAAAAGCATGTCTCCTAATTGTAATAATTATGTTAATCTCTCTTTTTTTCAGGTGTTTCTTTTACAGAGTTGACAAATGAAGTCATTTTTTTCTTAAGGAAAAAAATATCTGGTTGAATTACAGTTGAGAGGTTGAAGTTCCCAAGGGATTTCTTACAGCCTCATTCTGACCACTGTCTGAAAGAGTGTCTAGCCATAAGGAGGGCCTATTCATTTCGACAGCACCAGCTTTGGCACATCCTTGAGAGCTGCGAGGATGAAGTTTTGCATAAACAAGCTCCATAGCACAGAAGAACATTCAATAGCACAAAAACAAAGTGAAATTTCCAAACAACAAAAAGACGAAGCTGCTAACATCTGTAATTAACAGACTTACCATGTTGATAAGCGTTTTTTAACCTAACACAAGATAAAACAGAACATATTTATGTAAATGAAACCAAGAGGTCACCGAAATTGCTTAAAGTTGCCATGTCTCTATGTAATGTTAACTTCGATTTTCCTTATTGGTTTTGTGGTTTTCCTAGTGGCTGCACAGATGCTTTTAGACACACTCACAAACACAACAGTAATACCTGACTTACAGTGCTGTCGCAGTGAGGTTTTGGAAGAAAAGAGGACCAGAGAGTCTCCGAAATGCTATAATTGAATGCTCTCAGACACATGCAATAAAAGAGCTGTTGACTGAGGCATGTTTGTGTGCGGTGTTATTGATCGATATGTGAGGGAAAGGTTGGACCTATGTGTTCTAAAGCCCCACAGAGTACAGTCAAACCTTATTAACACACACCCACAATCTCTGTTTTTCACACATGCTCATTTTCTGCTCAAAACAGATATGACAACACATGATGTAAACTAAAGGCCAACATACTGCTAATCAGAACTCTAATCGCATGCATGTGTGATTTCACGTTTACATGCATGTGGAAATTTTCCCGGTTATTATTAGATGTTCGTTCGTGCATTTCTCCCTCAGGGTTTTGATCTCTGAAGGAAATCACATTTGCGTTACCAAGGAGCACAACTCTCAACATCCACTTATCTGTCACTCTATTTCCCCTCCTTAAGGCTTTTCTTTCCATTTTCTTTCCTCTACTGGCTTTTCCTTGAGCTTAATTTCTTCTTCTACATCCATCTCATATCCTCCCCGGTGTCATATATTTACGATGAGGCATTTATAGGCTGAGCGTCTCTGACTACTCGCGTTTACTCATGCGGCTGTAATTGTCTCATTGCCCTCTGCTATATGAAGATGAGTTACATCAACAGGCTGCCTCTCCCTGGAAACCACGAGATCTGCGCAAATGTGCGTGTTTGTTTATCTAAATAGCTCACATCTGTTTTAGCAGCAGACAGGCCAACATCTGTTCCTCTCCGTAATGCATCTGCCCTGAGTCTGCGGTTCAGCATATCACTGCAGATCTCTGCTTCATTCATCTACATTAACTCCGTTGTCTCTAACCTGTTGTGTTCCTGTGCTTATTATGTTTCAGTCACAAAGTAACAAGCCAGGTTTAAAATATTCCATCATAAATGTTTACAATCTGATGGATTAAACAATGAATTCGCACCTTTTCTATTCCTTCTGTACCCTCCTCTTTCTCCAGTGCATCTCTCTATACAGGTAATAATAGTTTCAGTCACTTTTTCTACATTGGTTAGACTTGACCTCATCTAGACAGATGATGAGCGTGTCTCAGCACATGTAGATACACACAACAGCACTCTAGTCTTACCGTGCTCTGTGGTCTCTGTCTCCGGCTCCTCCAGGGTTGTTTGAGTTATTTTGTTGTCCTTTGATTAGTTTAAGTGATACTCCAACGTTCCTCAGAGCTCTCCAGTTCAACTGTTTTCATATCTCTCTCACGGCTGCTCTAGGTGTACAAGAAGCAGGCATCAGCAAGTGTATGTGCGCTGGGTCGGCGTCTCCGCGAGCAGGAGGAGGACTTTGCGGGGAAATCGGCGAGTTATCAACGAGAGATCCGGCACCTGCAGAACCAACTCAGAGACAGACAGGAGCAACTGCACGGAGCTCTGCAGCAGAAGAGGTGATCCTCTGCCTCTCTCTCACTCACAGACACACACACACACACTCTCCCTTTCTCCTCCTTTCCTGCTCTGTGCAAATAGAGGGATGCAGCAGAAGAGGTGAGAGCAGTAGTGGAGCAGCTGTCACAGAGGCACAGACCAATAACAGACAGCGGAGAACGAGAGGGGAGGGGCTCCAGACAAGCTGGCACAGCTGCAGGCTCATCTGTCTAAATGTTCCATGTGCTCGCATAATTGTGAGCCGTCATAATTACACTCGCTTTTCTTTCATTTGACACATTCTCGCTCTTATGCTTATTCCTTCAGGTTGTGTAGTATCCATGACGAGCATTCCATTTACACTGATATCATCAAAAAGCAAATATATACAGATAGGTCCATAAATATTCGGACATTGACACAATTCTAACATCTTTGGCTCTATACACCACCACAATGGCTTTGAAATGAAACAAACAAGATGTGCTTTAACTGCAGACTGTCAGATTTCATTTGAGGGTATTTACATCCAAATCAGGCGAACACTCTAGTAATTACAATAGTTTGCATATCTGCCTCCTACTTGTTTAGGGTCCAAAGTAATTGGACATTTGGCTTTTCTGCTGTTCCATGGCCAGATGTGTGTTATTCCTTCATTATGCCAATTACAATAAGCAGATAAAAGGCCCAGAGTTCATGTGAAGAGTGCTATTTGCATTTGAAATCTGTTACTCTCAAAGAACTGTCACTATCAGTCAAGCAAGCCATCATTAGGCTGGAAAAACAAAACAAACCCATCAGAGAGATAGCAAAACATAAGGAGTGGCCAAAACAACTGTTTGGAACATTCTTCAAAAGAAAGAACGCACCAGTGAGCTCAGCAACATCAAAAGACCTGGAAGACCACTGAAACAGCTGTGGTGGACGACCGAAGATTTCTTTCCCTGGTTAAAATAAACCCTTAAAAACAGTTGGCCAGATCAAGAACACTCGTCAGGAGGTAGGTGTATGTGTGTCACAGTCAACAATCAAGAGAAGACTTCACCAGAGTGAATACAGAGGGTTCACCACAAGATGTAAACCATTGGTGAGCCTCAAAAACAGGAAGGTCAGATTTGAGTTCTTAAAAAGCCTTCACAGTGCTGGAATAACTTCCTATGAACAGATGAGATCAAGATCAACTTGTACCAGAGTGATAGGAAGAGTATGGGAAGGGGAAAGGAACTGCTCATGATCCTAAGCAGTGAAGCATGGTGGTGGTAGTGACATGTGTGGGCATTTATGGCTGTCAATGGAACTGGTTCTCTTGTATTTATTTATTGATGTAACTGCTGACAAAAGCAGCAGGATGAATACTGAAGTGTTTTAGGCAATATTTTCTGCTCATATTAAGCCAAATCCTTCAGAACTCACTGGATGCAAAGCATACTGCAAAAGCAACCAAAGAGTTTTTGGTATGAAAGAAGTGGAATGTTATGAAATGGCCAAGTCAAATCACCTGATCTAAATTCGATTGAGCTTGCATTTCACTTGCTGAGGACAAAACTGAAGGGAAAATGCCCCAAGAACAAGCAGCAACTGAAGACAATTGCTGTAGAGGCCTGGCAGAGCACTACCAGGAATGAAGCCAAGTGTCTGGTGATGTCTTTGTTTTACAGACTTCTGGCTGTATTTGACTGCAAAGGATTTGCAACCAATTATTAAGGGAAAGTTTGGTTTATGATTATTATTGTCCAGTTACTTTTGGACTCTTAACAAGTGTGAGGCACATATGCAAATTGTTGCAATTACTACAGCATTCAACAGGTTTGATGTAAATACCCTCAAATGAAAGTTGACAATCCGTAGTTAAAGCACATCTTGTCCGTTTCATTTAAAATATATTGTGTTGGTGTATAGAGCCAAAAAGGTAAGAATTGTGTCAATGTCCAAATATTTATGGACCTAACTGTACATTCAGAAAACCTGGCTTGTTGCATATGCAAATGATGATTCTTTGTTGTGCTAGATACCCTTATGAAAAGGTTAAACAAAATGTGGTACTAAGGGGCTCAAAGTGTGCCAATAAAACTCCCACACCCTTACATCACCAGCAGCCTTAACCATTATAACAAGGCATAACTAATCTGTGCTTTCATATTATTTATGCCAAATTTTAAACTACCATGTTGCAGGAGAAATTGAGACCTATTGGACTAGACAATCTTTTCCTCTCTTGTTTTGTTAAGTTTTGGTGAGCTTGTGTGAATTTAGTCTCGGTTTGTTGTTGTTGGCTGACTGGAGTCGGCTCTTTTGCTACCGTAGCTTATTTACTTCAAGGTATGGAATGGACCACCAACTATTCCGGCATTTGTTCTATGCAGCGAATGCCCTTCTAGACACAACCAAGTACCTTAAAACACCCATTTGCATTCACACACTACGGTCAATTTAGTTCATCCAATTCACATATAACACATGTCTTTAGACTGTGAGGGGATACCGGAGCACCTGGAGGAACCCACACCAACCTGGTGACCTTTCTATCAACCCAATCCTTTTCCTTCTGCTTAAGCATTAACAAAGCATTTTAGTGAAACGAGCAAGATACTTTTTTTTTCTAATTTTACTCGTATTGTTTACAAGCTGTTTTATCAATGCCTTTCCATGATCAAAGCACTGATTGGGTAATTGCATAAGATGTTGATGCTGAACTTGCTTATACACATACAGTAGAGCCATTCATCACATTAAATAATTTTAAAACAGAATTTATTGTTTGAATTTTCTGAAAGGGAGTTACATAATCTGAAAGATTTAGTTGTTTTTAAACCAAATTTTGTTGCAAATGTTTGTTGCCGCTGTAACATTTGTTTTATTCAAACACCATTATTATTATCTATTTGAAGGAGCTGAGGTTTAAACAACACACAATTCTGTGTTGGTGTATATGCCGTGGGCAGCCTTGGAGCAATAGAGGAAAAGCTAGTTAAAAGAAGAGATGAGTTTAACATTTTCTTTTTGAAAAACATCCAAAACATACATTTTTAAAATTATTTTTCAGGGCCAACAAGAGCCAATGGATATTAAGTTACGTCTGACCGAGTAGGCTTCTCAAGGTTGTTGTGGGGTTACATAGAGCCATTTGTTGTTTGTCGATTTGTTGTATGCCACACATTTGTATTAAGTTAGTAAAGGACTGAGAACAAATCCTTTCAAAATGTGCGCCAGTAAAGACTTAAATGCTAGAAATGGGTTTGTAGACATACTTTTTAATATTTATTATACCATTAGTATTTATCAATATATTTATAATTATTATAATGAATATTGTTGTTATTTTTTTCTAGAGGTGCCATCAAAGATGCCCACACAGAACCTAAAAATAAATCTTGAAAAGCTTCTTTTCAGATGTTTATTAGAGACATCAAATTCATTGTGAAATAAGTATTAATGTATCAAATATATAACAGATTTTATAGGTTTGTTGTAACAACTGACTATTTAAAACATGCTATTTTTCATATTTCACCTATCATTTCTATGTAATATACAGGCCAGAGACAGCCAAGGACAGACACACATTGATAGACTCAGATCTGCTATTCTGTCTGGACCACTCACTTCATCCTCACAAACTATGACACACACTATTTTTGTTCAAAATTTGAGGCATGTCCAACTCAACTCCAGCTCCAGTGTACTCGCTCGCCCATTAAACACTTACAGTCGCTCTCTCTCTCAACTCCACATCAAAGCTCATTTTGAAGTCAGTTTCCTTCGCCAGCCGGAGTGTAAGAGAGGTTTTTAAATGTCAGCTTTGATACGTCAGTAAAATGCTTTTGCTTCAGAAGAGTTTGTTTTCATGCGTGTGTTTTTGAGATTGTGAAAAATATGAAAAGGAAATGACAAGTCCTTTGTTGATATTCACTATTCATGGTCTTACCAGGCAGCTGTTCACCCATCTGCTTCTTCCACTTTCAGTTTTATGTTCGGAATGTTTTTGACATTTAATTTTGACGCCAAACTCAATCAATTGTTCTAGAAGAGAAGTTGCATTGTTTAACTGTAAATCCCATGATGATTCACCAAATGATCTTGTCTATAGATGACAAAGTATGGCCATCATTTCCATCTTGTGAGTGTGTGATTTTTTGTGGTGACATTCTCTGCTCTAAAGGTGTAATGCATATTCATTTAACACTGTAATTATTCTCTTGTCTCCTGTGAAGTGGGCTTCATTTTTGATTGATTCATAAATCCTTATAATCATTATGGTGTGTTTTTAATAGAAATACACTCAGCAAAAATATAAATGCAACACTTTTGTTTTTGCTTCCAGTTTTTATGAAATAAGCACTAAAAGACATATTTCTCTCAAGTAGTGTTCACATTTGTCTAAATCTCTGATAGTGAGCACTTCTCTTTTGTCAAGATAATCCAGCCACCTTAGAGGTGTGGCCGACCAAGATGCTCATCAGACAGCATGATTATTGCACTGGTGTGTCTTAGGCTGGCACAATAAAAACCACTATAAGGCCCTGTTTAAACCTCATCTTGTGTTTTCTCCATTCAGATAGCTGTCTGATTTATGAAAACATTTTCATTTACACGTGAACATACAAATTGTGTCTCTGTAACTAGGTTAGATCAAATAAAGTAGCAGAAACACTGCATTTTATTTATTTAACTTTATTATTTATAGAAACACAAGCTATAATCTTATTTGGCTCTTAATTTTTTTAAAATGCACAGTGTATAAAATTACTCCCAGCAAACAGTTGTGTTTAATAGACATAAACGTGGACAGCTTGGCTAAAACAAGGCTAAACTTGGGCTTTCAGTGAAAATCTAATAGATGTCTAAGAATAGCCCAAAACTAGACTAGTCGTCAAATAGACATATTAGACAGACTATATATTTGTAGTCATTCATTTGTTTATTTGATAACTAGTCTAGTTTTGGCCTATTCTTAAATGTCTATTAGATTTTCACTGACTGTCCAAATTTAGCCTTGTTTTTGCCAAGACTGTTTATACAA